ATGAACAATAGTCTTTGACGATTCATCTTCAATAAGCCAGCCAGCATCGGATAACTTATGACTAACCTATCTAAAATAAATCTATATCTCATCACTAGTAGTACTAGAATGCAATTGATATGATCGAACAAGATTTTACTAACTTTTCACAATAAATGAAATATGATTAGCTCATGCGGTATCCATGATACCTAAAAATTTTTTCGAAAAAACTTCAAAAAACTTTTAACTAATCGTTGGAAAGGATCAAACTTGGTATAAATAATCATGGCAACTGTCCTCAAAATTTGATAAAATAAAATTAAAGATACCTCCTTATCTTTATATTTTTATATAATGTTGTCAGAACTTTTGGTCAGACCTAAGTAGTAATTCACAAAAAAATTCAAACGATAATTCTAAATATAAAATAAGTTTTCGTCCAGTTATTCACTTAATATAAATTGATAGTAGAAGTTGCGTATGACAGACGATAAAGAAAGAAACAAACAAATGGTAGACAATCTTGTACATAATAGGATGAAAGTAATGAACCAATCAATATGTACTTTGTACTACATACCTATACTAAGGACATCCCGTGATAAGTTTTGACGATCTTTCATCACACCCGAAAAAAAATGTTTACCCGCCTGAGACCCGTGTCATTTAAAAAAATTATTTCCCCCCCCCCCCCCCCCCCGCCCGTGTGTCGGAAAATACCCGTGCCCCGTTAATCCCGCATTTAATTAAATTTTTCTTCCCCGCCCGCCCGTCGCCACGTGGCCTCGCGGGGTGAACCCCGTGGACCGCACATCTCTGGTTTGAAGTGTGTGAAGAAAGGTTAACGACAGAAGACATCCTCACCAACATCCTAATTTTGCTTATGCAAAAAGCTAAACATATTACATCATGCTATCAAGAGTAACAACCCTTATAAAAATAGAAATCATTCGAGCAAATATGTTAAATACTATTGATTATTTTGAAATTTTAAAAAATTAAAAATATAACAGAAATGAAGTACAAACTTTAATTATTTGCATTTTATTTATCGTTACTAAATTCTAAAAGAAATCATTAATAAGGACAATAAATATCAAACATGATAGTGAATGTGGTTTTGTTTTTATTTAATTAGAACATTTATATTAATATGAAGTTTTTCCAACTATTATATTATAATTGTTCTATTCATCATCTTGGAATTTTTCCCTATGATCACCGTACACTATGTATGTGGTTTTTCGAAACAGCCGTGTTGTATACATGATCTATTTTATGAGAATGTCAGATATTTAATCCCATTATCTTCTCAGCGTTACTGTTTTCTATTATATTCATCTTCATACTACATGTTTAGTATGTACGAAATAAATCAAACTCACATAAATATAAAAATCAACAATTTAAAATTCAAATTATCACTAATCATGCACATCTCTATCACACGTGATGAACTTGAGAAATTCTTAATGACTGGATGAATATTTGTTCACTTCAAAGATCAAGCTACTGATAAAATTTTTGTTAGGTTTATTCTTGTAAAAATATCTATTGAAAAAACTGATGGCATAGAAAAATCGAACGTTTCTTACAATATTGTCGTTTAATATTTTTGTCATGATTATTTCTTTTTCTTCTAATTTTTTTAGTGTACCTTACGAGAGTCATCATCTTTATTGTAGATAAAAAAAAAAAAACTCGAAAAATAAACCAAAATAATTAACGTAGCTCATACATGAAACTTTAGTGCACTGGAAAATTTGAGATATGAGATTTTGACTCATCTTAAGGACTTTCAACGAACTTAGAAGTTTTATAGGATTTATTAGTATAAATTAGTACTTTGTTCATGTATAGTTACCACAGAGCATGATCCATCGAATATTTCTAAAAAAAATAGTTAGCCAAATATTTAGTAGAAGTTTTTGCTAAAATTATGCTGATTTTGATTAGATATAGGACTTCAAATTTACTTCAGTTTACAAAAAAAATTCGATTGTGTGCTTAAAAACAACAACTGAAAAATCGGTGCATTCGTTTTATCAATCAGTAGAAAACTCGAGAAAGAGTGAAAAAAAAGGTCATGAGGAGTGATGGTAATATTAGGTTACAATTGTTAGGTGTTGTATTCATTATGATATCGATAAACCACCACTTTCGGACCTTCGTAAATTGTTTCAACAGAACAATATATTAAACTGATATCGAATTGATATTGAGTAATTACTATGTGACAGTTAGCGTCTAAAGCAAAATAAAAGTATCATAGCATGAGATAAATTGTATGTAATTATTCAACGTCGATTATATATATGTAATATATGCTATCAAAAATGCAATGCTTTATAGATTTTCGTATTTTCTGTTCGTATGATTCTAAAAAAAATGATTTAAATCAAAATAATATACTAAAATTTCGCTAAACAATAAATAAAACTTGACGAAATCCAAGAGATCGAATAAACATAGTCAAAATCTTAGTTGTTATTTTTGATTCGTGATTCGTTGTATTTAAAAATATTCATCTTAATATTAAAACTAAATTTTTGTTGTATGACTTAATCTATTTTTCGAATAATTCTACATTTCAAAATTTTTGTAAAGTGCACATGTTTCAGCCTGAAATTAATTTGTTCAAATTTAGTCTTGAGTTTAACTATTCGATGTAGATAATTTTTATTGTTGAACATTCCTAAAGAATAACTCTTGATATTAACTCCTGTAAATTGTTTACGAAACTTTTTCTTGACTAAACTACACTGATTATAATAATATACCATCAAATTTAAATCATTGTTGGGTAAAAGAAATACTTTCATATAAATGGTTCGATTCTGAATAGCTTTTTAAATCCTGAATCTTCATTCTGAGAACCATTCAACTAATTTATGAAAAGATTCTTTAATGATTGTTGAATAGCGTGAAAAATATTTTCTGCTAATGATGCATTAACGATCGTATAGAGCTAGGGTGTGGGTATGGGTGTCGGTGAAGAGAAGAGCGACACTTACACCCACACCCCACACTCACCCACACCCATAATTTTTTTTAAACGTTCTATTGCATCATATAAATCTTTAGGAAATGTTGTTGATGCTTCATTTACACGTAATGATATACTATACATTCCTTTATAATCTTCATATATTGATTTTTTATTATTTGTTATTTTATATATTTTAATCATTTCTTTAAGAAATGTTTGTATACGTCCATTTAATATTGATAAAAGACGTTGTACTTCTTGTGCAATTGTTTCATTATAATCATTAGGATCTGAACTTGTTCGATATTTTTCTATTATACTTACACATTCTTGACATTGAAATGATGCGCGTAAACCTTGTTGAGAATATTTTAAACATGATGGATTATCTGTTGCATCTATTAACAACAAAACAGTCTAGATTTCACAGTGATATAGATAGGGTGTGGATGTGGGTAAACACGAAGAGTTACCACACCTACATCCGACACCCACACCCACTCAAATTAAAAACAAAAAGTTCAGTTCTTATCGTTATAGTGAATTGAACAACGCCGCATTTTATGATTTTTTTTTAATAAAAAGTTATGTACTGTAGTATTTCATTTTTTCTCAAACAAAACTGAAAAGTTATCAAAATCTTCTTTCCAAAGCGAAAATTGTATAGAAGCATGCGAAAGGATAAGGTTAGACACTTACTACAGCATCTTCAATTATATATGGTTTTTCAGTTTAATTTGATATTGATTCTATTGAATTAAATGCAAAGAAACACAGCGTATGACAGATTTTTATTTCTATGATATATTTTGTCATCTAATATCACACTGTTCATAGTTAAGACAAAAAACAAAAGAATATACTTTTTTAAATACTTCGTCCGTTGTGGTCATATTTTGTTTTGACGAATAGAAGAACAATCAGGGCATTATTGAGAGAAATTGATCAAACATGAAGATGATGATTGTCATTGGATAATTTATACAATGATATATATATATGAACAGTTCATTGGCATTGTGTGCATATGCGATATTGAGATGGATATTTCTAAATTAGAATCATTACCAACTGAATTATGGTTAAATATCCTCAGTTATTTATCATCTTTCGATTTATTCAAAGCCTTTTTTCGTATTAATAATAAACGTATTCAAAAAATCATTGATTCTCAATCATTTTTACTCAATACAAAATTAATATAATATTCTGAAATGAATCAGATTTTCGTTATGCATAGTTATCTTCTTCAATTACGTACAATCATTCTCAGCAATTCATGTTCTTCTTTGGCTTTTTATAAATATTGGACAAAAAACCTACCACCAATGTGTATAACACCAAAACTTGAACAATTGATTGTACTAAATGCAGGCTATTACATATATAATCTTGTTGATTCTCTACTTATACCTCTGTCACTTGATAACTCATTACAATATCTCCATCTAATATTTCAATGTTCCGATCGTACATACATGATGTTTCTCAGCTTTGTGATTCAAGCACAAATATCTTTTCATACGATGATATTCGAAATAGAAAAAGGTATTTTGTGGTCTTTGATCATACATCTGAATATCTTGCTGAGTTTAATGACTCTAAATAAATCTGTTTAGATTGTTATTGTGATACCGAAGTAGTATACTCTAATTTATCCGAACTAAAAAATTTACATTGGTCACGTACTGTTCAATTGACTTTAACTATTCAATTTCCATTTGAAATGATTTTTATTCTTCAAAACAGTGCCATACCATTTCTCGAACATTTGTATATAACCATTGAACAAGAACAATTGCGAAGAGAATCTTATCTGGATGCGTCACAACCACAAATTCAATTTTGTGAAAGTGATATTCGTCAAATGACTGATGGAACTCGACTTCAAACTCTTGTATTGCGTCATTTAGCTCTTTATAATGTGATAATATTAATTCGTTCTTTCAACATGCCTCTTTTGAAGAAATTAACACTTGTTGATATATTTGATGAAAGTAAGTTATTCAAGTAACAATGAAACTCTCAGTTATGAATCAGCTTATACAAGATTTGATAATGGTAGTTAGTTTTCTTTTCAGAAATCTGTAAGTTGTAAATTAGAATGCACATTCATATGCAGACGTGTCATGATTGAAATAACTGACTTCGTCTTGAAATATTTTTGTTTACCAAAATATGTTTTTAAAAATTATCTGAAAGAAAATACAACTTACTTTTCATTTGTAGCACTTATGCATTGTGAAGAATTTTGTCAAATTATTAATCATAAACATCTACCTTCTTTGAAAGAATTCTACTTTCTTATTTATTTTCCTGGACATCTATATAAATCATTTGAAAAGATTATTGTCAAGATATATGATGTTACATGCTTCTTTAACAATCTTACTTATCATCTTGATGAACAAGCTGTCTCTATCAATAGTTTTGAGAATGTGACGAAATCAGTCCTTCTCTTTTATACTTCTTCATTGGACGTCTTATTACAATATACACGTACTATTCACAATCATTCATTTGCACAATATTCAACTCAGATCAATCGGCGTTCTATCAAATGGATATGTAATAAGATAGATAGTCTTAATCAATTGACAACTACTTTCAACAAATTGGCTAGTGGACATTTAGATACACTTCATTTACAATTCTACGAAACAAAGGTTAGTATACAAATAAAACTGCTAATCCTGTTCTTTGCGTTGTTGGTTTGTGAAATGACAAATAAACTGATGAAGGAACATATTCAACTGTCACATCGCTTTTGGACCGATCATGTATACCAACAATAGACCTCAGTGAGTTATGGGTATAAGATTCTTCTGAGTATCTGAATGACCGAATTTCAAATTAAAATTTTGCCCATAGATAGGCTTTATGAAGTTTAAGCCAGAATGAATGTGTCCATATTGAGATGTTCATATTTTAAAGAAATCCTTGTTTCAAATAGAGACATTTTCATGACAAGATGATATCTCGATAAGGATACATTCATTCTGATTCAAACTTCGAGGAGTTCCTAGTGCTTATAAGGCCTATCTATGGGCGAAATTTCAATTTGAAATTCGATCATTCAGGTACTCAGAAGAATCTTATACTCATAATTCGACAACAGAAGATGGAAAAGCAAACTATTCTAGGGCATTTAATAACTCACTGAGGTCTATCTGTTGTGCACATGACCGATCCAAAAACGATCTGACAGTTGGATATGTATTCTCAGAAGATATATAAATAATCATTTCTTTGTTTTTTTGTTCAGACATTTATTCAAACAAATGAATCTAATTCATCATGGTCTCACCTATGGTTTCCTTGGTTGCGTTCTGTGATTTTTGCCTTTGCTCATGACTCGATCGTACGATCGGAACGTGTTTACATTATTGATCAGATACTTCATATATCGCCTCGTCTTTTACATCTTACTATAGAATGGAATGATTTACATTCTTGCTCACAATCTAATACAAATGTCAAACATGTACATCTCCAACTATACAAACGCTACAATGATTCAAATCCATACATTGACATCAACCATCTCTTTCAACTACTACCTAGTATATGTTGTCTCGAAACTAGTAATGGTGATATAGCATTCAATGAAAATCTCGTAAGATTTATTGTAAAAATTGTCGATACATTTCAGCAACTTGTTCAATTGATTTTAACCAAAAGAGATCTTCTACGACTTCAACCAGAAACTGAAGTAACAATTGAAAAAGCGATATTCAATACTGGCAATAAGCGACTACTGAATTCTAACATCTGTCGAATAATATTTCCAGTACGAAATGAACTTCGAATTTGGTTATCGTAGTTTTGTGTGTAAAAGAATTGCTTACTAATAAATAAATCGAAAGTTAAATTAGTATAAAGAATATTCTCGGACACGTATCAACTTACATTTCGAGACTCTTAGAAGGATTCATCAAACATTGATATAGGATCAGTTCGAAATTAGATCCATGTATTTTTTTTATATGAAACAAAAGAGCACTGACATCCTAGGTCAGTTGGATTTCTCAATGTTTTGTATGCTGAAATTTCTGTTTTAATACACATAGATAATTTTCATATTTCTAAGTTGAATAAGTATCATGAATATGTCTACGCATGCAAACTGTACTCTTTTTGAAAAAGCAACACTAATAAGTGTTCATATCTGTTATGCAAATCTATTAACTTTCTTATGTAGTGACTGAAAGAAGCGTGTGGGTGTGGATATACCTGTGGGTATTCTCTTTACACCCACACCCACACCTACAATCTTAATGTATTTTTCCATGCCGATTTCTTTTCAGATATTTAACAGTCTACAAGCTCTCGAACTGATTAAATATCCGACATGGCAACAACTGAAGCACAAGGTAAGACCATATAATATATTGTATGTTCAGTTATTTATCTTACTTCAAGCAACGATTTTTCGTTATGATAATGCAGCTGAATAGATAAAATACCATTGATATATTGCATTAGTTGTCGTTTTGTCCCTAACAGATAGAGGATATGGATCTCATAAAGCAGCTTATCAAAAGAAGATTCTCGATTGCCTTCACGGTATTTAGCGGAGTAGCTTGGATGCTCTCATACTGTGGTGGAGAAAGATCTGAATGAATTAGGAAAGACATGACATCTCACCGGCATCGTATTACTAACGATGAGAAGTGAATGTTGTACATTAGCTACACGCATAGGTGCCAATGGCTAAGAGCTAGTTAAACGAATATAGCAACACCTAAGACTGATCTGCATCCCAAAAAAGTGATTCTAAGCGTTTGATGAGGAGTCAATAGAATTATTCACTGGGAAATTCTTCCAAATGGTTGTACCACTACTGCTATCTCTACTGTTAGCAATTGGACCAGGGTTGCCGAAAAACTCAAGAAAAAGCAGCACCGAAATTTACTATTTGCCTGATAACGGAAGATCCCATGTTGCAAAGCCGATACGTGAAAAATTATTGAAGTTCGGATAAATTACCATTCCACATGTGCCTTATTCTCCTGACTTGGTTCTAACGAATTACCATTTATTTCGTTCTCTTTGTAACCCACACCCACACCCACATGCGGGATCCTATGGTTGCCAGAGCGTTGGCGACAAGTCATAGATAATAGTGGTGCACATATAATTGAAAGTTGGTTGTACTGTTGAAGTTGAAAATCAAAAAGAAAATTTTTGAAAAAAACGCAAAAACTTTATTGCCAATCTAACAGAGCAATTCAATTATGGTAGCGAAAGTATAACAGAAATATGTAAATGTTCGCAATAATTGTCCTGATTATTTAAGCATAATTACACAACTACGTGTATAGACGACTAATTATTAAAAAAGTCGGAAATAAAGCATAAAGAAAAGATCAAGATGCAAATACATGTTGAAAACAGTATGAGCTAAAAAACCTGTCACATATTATAATCACACATGTCTTCTTGAATTTTTATTATTATAATATTAGTTGAAGAACAATCAAATATGATATAAAGATAGAGCATTATTGTTGTAAATTATTACTTCATATAAAGCGGAATTTTCCTCAGGCTTACTATATCATATTAAAGTATCACTGTCAATATTTTTGGACACTAATAATACAACAATTTCACATTGCCTATCTTTGAACAGCCATCCCTGGAGAAAGTACTGAGTTCAGGGTACTCATGTACTGAGAAAGGCCTAGCAGGGTACCCAATACCGGTACTTCAAAAGTTCTCAGTAATTATACTGATGTAGGTACTGAGTGTGGTTCCTATAAAAGTACGCTCACTTAAGAAGTACTTGTATGGGTACTCGCATCTGTAATTTTACTGAGGCAAGCTATACAGGGTACCCTATATTTGTCGCATTCTGTGTAGCGACTATTCATTCACCGTTTTCTTTTTCACGCACGGCTCCATATAAACAACTGAGTAAGACCTAAGAAATTAATCTATTTTCATACTAATTTTTTCTAGATTATTTTTTGACTATTTCTTAGTCGAGAACATGCCGTTCTTGATCGTAGATTAAAAGCGGACTACTCCAAAGTGGTCTGATGGACACCTGACCAACTCAAGTCGGGTCAGATCCCGGGATTGTACCTGCTAAGTTTTCGGAATTGAAAAAATTAAATTATACAAAATCGAAAAAAAAATGTAGTAAATTGCTTTGAGAGAAAAAAAAGTTAAAGGTCAGGTTCGATCCTGAACATACTGAAATTTTTGTAACAGGGTACCTAGAAATACTATACAATAGTACCCAATTGAGTATCTGATCAGTACCTTCAAGTACCCAGTTACTACACATTTTGTAGCAGGGTACTTGTTAAAGTACCACTTAGGTACCTGAAAGTACTTCCAAGTACTTTGGTACCCAAAAGTTCCTGTGACATACTGGTAACAGGGTACTTTTTCGGGTACCCTTAACTCAGTACATTCTCTAGGACAAATTATGAAATTTCTCTTCAGTTTATTGTAGATTTGCATAATTTTTATTTAGAAGTTCAATAATCTACTGCAGCGACTGCTTTAAAGAAACTATCTTGTAATGGTTGTAGTTGTCTAACATGCAATAAATGCTGTGATTGGAGTTTTACCGGCGATGCGGCAACTTGGAACTGGATACGTAATTAACAGAGTTGGAGTAACGACGATTGGAAGCGCTGGCGTGGTAATCGTATGTGGAAACTTTATGAACGTATCAATGGGACGACATGTACTACTATTAGGTGTGGTCCTGGTAGTATTTATGATGATCCTATTTTTGATGGTCATCATGTAGTTCATACTGTTAATTTTTTTGGTAGTTTTAGCATTAATACTAGTCATGATTTCATTCATATTATTTCTTCTGTTGGCGACATATGTGTTTGTAATGGTAATAATAAATAAATTTCTCATGGATCATAAGATTTATAAACTTGCAGGTTTGATAAGTGAACAACTTGTATTTGATATCAGAAAATATGATTTCGTAGGTCTCAACGGTCGAGAGTAGATAAGGACGTGGGTGAATAAAAGACACCCACACTCTCACCCTCAAACTCTCCAACTGTTTCTGAGCTTTTAACTCTATCTTTTGTCTATAAGAAGATTTTAGTGAGGCTAAGAAAACTCTAAAAGGAATCGTGTCCGGAGTTATGTCCGACTAATGCAATTTTCGGTCTATTTCGTGGGTATTTACTGAAAAGTCAAGTTATAAGATTTCGATCTGAAATTTTACTCATGGATAGATCTGATAATCTTTAGAATATCCTGAAAATTTCAGCCGAAATAACTGCTTCTTTCTTAAGGAATTGGGTATTCATGTAAATCCGATTAATCGAAATCTTTTAATTTGACTTTTCAGTGAACATCCACGAAATAGATCGAAAATTGCGTAAATCGAACGCAACTCTTTATTAATACACCATGAACGCGATTCCTTTTAAGATTTTCTTAGCCTTACTGAAATCTTCTTATAGCCACAATATGAAGTCGAAAGCTTAGAAACAGTTGGGCAACTCTCCTCGTTAATCCAGCCTTATTTGTAAAGGAGAGATTCTTCTACAGCTAATAAATGATAGAATAAATTAGAAGACTTCGGAATGTGTTGATAATTTTTATTAGTATTATCAAAGTACCAACAAAAAAAATATTCTATTAGTATTTTATTTAGGAGAGCTTAATATCGAGTCCACATGTATTACAACACGGTGGTTTTCCACAACATGTGAGGCATATTGGAGGTCGGGTGGAATCGGCGATCGTAGTGGGAACAGTTGGTGTGGCTACGGTTGGTTCGATAGTAAAATTAATTAAGTCAGTTAGATTGAAGTTAAAACCACATCTAGGTAAACCACAACAGCTGCAACATGGAGGTGGACCACAACAAGTTGGGCAACGTTTACCACGATTAGATTCATTGGAATAAACATAGCTGATGATGAGTATCAGGAGAAAAGCAGCAAGAAGATAACTACGCATATTGAAGAAAACAGTAAAAATGTGCAAATAGTCGAGCGTTTGCATCGCTCTTTATAATCATGATAATACTAAAGACATGTGTGTCAGTTCACATGCACTAGCATTGTTTCTAGTAGGCGTAATTAAATAGATACGCTGTATCATTCGTTTTTTCTTGAAAATTTTGAAATTATTATCAGTACAAGTGCGTACGCTTTATAGAAGGATCCATCAAACATAATTTTTCGACTGGATCACAATATATACAACAATAATAATAATAATCAATTTTATTACTTTAAAAATATAAATTCTCAGAATATATCCTTTTTTATATAGAAAAAGAAAAACACTATATATATATATCTAAGACAATTTTAAATAAATTTTTTTCTTTTCTTTTAACAATTTGTTCATCATGTTCTTTTTCGAATTGAAGTCGTTTTTCAAACGAATAAAAATGGCAAAATCAATCATAAATTAAATATACATGTTTAGGGTGAGAGTGAATCCAAGGAAACCATGACTCATTTCGATCTTGCTAAAAGATCTCATTAGATGGTTTCGACTTTGTAATTATTTCAGTGATCCAAAGATCATTTCGTTTTAAGTATGTTTATCGCATCTATATATATGGGCGCGATCAACTGGTAGGATGTCCCAAGATATAGGATAGGAAATAATATTATTCCAGAGAGGAATATATAATGAATTTTATACAAAATGGAAGCTCGTCAAAAATGGGATTTATTGGTACTAAACAGTAAAGATTTTCTGAGTTTTGTAATGTCGATTTTCAAAAATTTTGAGAAATTTTACATATTTTCGGCATAGAAAACTAATATGTCATTTATATATGGCGAGAAAACATGAGGGTGTGGGTGTAGGTAAGGATACAAATGTCAGATACAAGTACA